ATAAAGTCCTTCAGCCTATATATATATATGTGTGTGTGTGTGTGTGTGTGTATACATTTTATATATACATATACTTTTTAAAAATAATTTATTCACTTTATGTCCTCATTGTAGGCTCTTCCCTCATCTCCTCCTGGTTCTACCCTCTCTCCCTTTTCCTCCCTGTCCCCTCCCCTAGTCCACAGAAAGGGAGAGCCCTCCTCCGATACTGTCTGACCCCAGGCTGTCAAGTCTCACAGGACTGGCTGCATCCTCTTCCTCTGTGGCCTGGCAAGGCTGCCTCACCAGGGGGAAGTGATCAAAGAGGAGTCCTTGTCAGAGACAGCCCCCTTCAGCCTACTGCCATCATGGGAAGGGTTTGTTCCTCCTCCAATTACAAATAGCATCGCTGGGTGTAGCTGTCTGGGTCGGCAGTTACCTCTGAGATTGCACTGTATCAGGAATGCCAGCACTCCTGGCATTTAGAGCTTCAGGGAAAGTATCTCGTTCTGATGGACATGCCTTTACATGTCGACCTGATGTTTCTGCCACTTGCAATATAGTTTCTTTGCGTTGTATATTTAGTGTCGATTTTAACATGGCAAAGAGAGTTTCTCTTCCTCATCTCATCTGTTCGGTGTCCTGGATCTGAATTGCTGGATTTCTCCCTAACTCGCAGAAATTTTGTTTTGTTTTAATGTTTTCCATGCCAAGTGGGCTTATTCTTGTATGCCTTCAAGCCACACATCTGACTTTCAATAGTGCTGTGTACTAGCTGACGTCCCCACTCGTACCTCATCTTTCTTCCTGTTGCCTCACTTCAATTCCACCGCTTTGCTCTTGAGCTCAGCTCTTCTGTCCTACCCTTGATCCGTTCTATTAAGACCTTCCTTGGGTTTTATTTTCGTTTCTGGCATTTCAGACGCGTTTTTCTTCAGCAACTCTATCTTTTTATTGAATTCCTCTTTCATACCTTGTACCCTCTTCCTTCTGTCATTCGGCTCTTTGTGTTCTCACTTAGAAGTTTATCTTTGCGAGGCAGGGTACTGTGTGCAGCATTAACACCAGCATTTGGGAGGCAGAGACAGGTGGAGCCCAGGAGCTTTGAGGTCAGGCTGGTCTACACAGTGTCTTCCATGTCAACCAGAGCTACAATAGTGAGAGCCTGCCTCCAAAAAGGGGGGAAGAAAGAAGTGGGGGCTGGGCGGGCATGGTGGCCAGCCTTTAATTAATTAATTAAAGGCGGGCATGCCTTTAATCCCAGCATGAAAGGGGCAGAGGCAAGCGGATATCTGTGAGTTTGAGGCCAGCCTGGCAGATTTGTAAAGCAAGTCCAAGACAGCCAGGGTTACACAGAGAATCCCTGTCTTAAAAAGAAAAAAAAAAGAGGGATGCTTCTCTTCTTTGAACACAGTTATAGTCTTTTTTTTTTTTTTTTTTTTCAAGTTCTCAACCATTTTTTCAAGTCCTGTCTGGAATTTCATCTGCTGTATGTCATTATTATAGGATCAGTAATTTTGTAATTAACGCTTAGTAACTGCAATAGTAATGTAGTAATTAACTCTTACTGCACTGCACTTAGATTTACTGATTTACATCAGGCATTACTTCATGTTTCTTTTATTATTTAATCAGCTATATTCTCTCAGTTGAAGTATCACACCATGCAGTTTGGATGGGATATAGTTGAAGTGTATAGTTCAGAAAATAGTTCCTCAGGGTTGGAGCTCAGGGTGCCTGGTGAAACCTCTATATTCCCAGAGTAGACTATTAACCACACACAGCTGCTGGATATTTTCACTATGTAACGGTTGTACTAGTCAATTAACAATACTGACACCTTGGGCTTCAAAAGCTGTTGCAGACTAAATAAATGGGGACAGGGAAGGTGTGGAGGAAAGAGTTGGAGAGTGATGTGATCAAAACATGCATGAAACTCAAAGCTCTTATTAGAGTGTTGGTATGTTCTTGTGGAATGTCAACGATTTACCCTGTTCATTCAAATGCTGATTTCTCTCCCCCACTATCTGGTTTCAATCCGGACATTGCATTGTGAAATAAGCATCACTTGTCTCAAGTACTCGTAAACATACCATTTGTTTTCTATGTTGTCAATTAAAACAACCAGCCACAATGCTGAGCAATGGAGAGGATAGGGTGGGACATCCTGGTCCGGGGTGGGAGGGAGAGAAGGAAGCAAGCTGGAGGGAGAAGAGAGAATCCGGAGGAGAGGTCTTGGAACCATGTGGAAAAATGAACCAGACCTAAGATATGACTAAAACCAAGTATAATGGGTGAAATCTGATGGTAGGAAACTGTGTGGGCTTGGAGGTTTAGGATGGAGTAACTATTGCATTGTGCTCTAGGTTAATTAAATAAATTCTAGTCTCTGTGTGGTGATTTGGTTATACAGCTATTCATGAATAACCGCTGCTTAACTAAAAGATATATCAATAGTAAATATTTAATATACCATAACATTAGAGAGAACTAATAAAGTATTTCAAAGTTTATTTTTATTTCGCCCCAAATATTTTTTTTTATCTGAGACAGGGTTTCTCAGTGTATAGCTCGCTCTGTAGACCAGGCTGGCCTTGAACTCACAGAGATCTGCCTGCTTCCTAGAGTGCTGGGATTAAAGGCATGCACCACCACCGCCTGGCAAATAATACTTTTCTATAAGCTTTGTCTTACTGTTTTATCAATGTGAAGAGACACCATAACCAAAGCAACTTATAAAAGGAAGCACTTAAATGGAGGCTTAAAGAGTTTCAGAGGGTTAGCCCATGCCTATCAAGGCTGGGAGCATGGCACTGCCGCAGTAACTGAGCGCTCATATGATCTGCAAGTTGCAGGCAGAGAGTGAGCAAGACTGAGCCTGGTGTGGGCTTCTGAACCTCAAAGCCCACCCCCAATGTCACACCTATCCCATACGAGGTCACACCTCCTAATCCTTCCCAAACAGTTCCACTAACTAGAGACAACCTTTCAAATGTATGGGCCCGTGGGAGCTGTTCTCAGTCAAACCATCAGGATCTATGCTTTCTCACTGGAAGTTGTGTATCACAATGACTGAAAAGTATGTTTTTTTTTTTTCAATCTTTTGCATAAATTATACTGAAGACTCTCAAAGGGGTGATGTTAGCACTAGTTTTTAAACTATTTTATTTATGCTTCTTATGTCCCTTTCTCCCTACTCCTAATTCCTTTCAACAGCCCAAAACCGGGTAGGAGAGGAAGAAGGTTAGTGGGGAGAGGGGCAGAGTTCTCTTAGCTACTTCCTGCTAAGGTTAGGGTTATCGGGTTCCTTGGGCAAATCCAATCTTCTTTTTAGGATATCTCCAATTTCTTATCAAACTTCGTCAACAGCAACCAGGAGCAGCAGGGGGAAGCACCAGCAGCCACCTTCTTTCTCAGAGCTCCCCAACACTCTCTAGGCTCTGGCATTTATTCCCTCCCTTCTCCAGAGTCCTCAGATTTAAACTATCTGCAACTGGTAAAGAGCTCTGCTCAGAGCACGCATGAGGTAAATACTTTGCTGCTGTGGACAATCTAATCAGTCCCATACTCTACACCTAGGATCAAAACAAAATCATGTTTATATCCACAACTGGTGACAAGGCAGATACATGTGGCATCCAAATCTGAGAATCCATGTAGTTATGTGTAAAGGCAATTTAACTTAAAACTATCAATTTTGTAGATATTTATAATAATAATAGTTTTGTTTCAATCCAAATCCTTGTTTATGGCCTGTATGTTCAAAAGCTAAAAATTACTACTAATAAGCAGGGAAATAATGTGAAAATTCTGCTAATGAAATATATACTTCTTTGGTTTTTAAATAGGTAAATTCTACATTAATGTGGATATTTTTAACTCTAATGCTTTTTAAAATGCTGGCATGCTATTTATTAAAGAAAAAGAAAGAAACGCACAACTGTCAAAGTAGAGGAAAGTGTCAGTGGAGAGCTCAAGCACAAATGGGACATCTATTTCACAACTCCTCAGTCCCACCATTGAAGACGCAGAACCACTATAAGGGCCTGAGGTTGAGAAGGGGTTCATGAGCCCTCACCTGAGGAGCTATGCGCAGGCAATGGTTTGGGGGATCAGTTTTCTTTCAGGGTTTGGCCCTAGTGGACTGCCCTGTATTTGGGAGTGTATGACCAAGCACCAATTGGAGTTGATGAGTTGTTATAAATGAAAGAGGACACAAAAGCTGGATTGTATGGGGAGCTGGAACTGGAGGAACAGCAGTGAATAGGACAAACACTGTAGGAAATTCTCAAAGAAGTGATATTCTTTTAAAACGAAAGTCAAGCAGCACATCCTGCTGGGCCTCAGAGGACCGTACCCCTAAAACTGTGAATCCAGATAAACCTCCCTTTCCATGTGTTGCTTGTCATGTTGACAGTCACACCAATAAGAAAAGTAACCAATAAACCTCTTTAAGAAATTAATATAAAAAAGAACAAGTCCCCCAAAGAAGGCAGACAGGCAGGACGTAGAAACAGCCAAGAAAAACACATGGTACCGGTACATCTGGTCAACGCACCCGGTCACTGCTGCTTCAGAAAACTGGGCGCCCCACCTGCTATGCCAATGCTGCTCTCCACAGGGTTCTGAGAAGTCAGTGGCAGCCAGGCTCTCAGGCAGTACTGAGCTCTTCTGGTTATGAATGGCAGGCAGGATGTTTATGGTTCTGAAAAGTGCTCACTTTAGTGTACATGAGGAATCTAGGTGTCTGCACCCTGTCGGAGAAACGCAGTTAACATTTACAAATGTTGTTCTTGGCTGTTGTGTCAGCTGAGGACAGGGTAAGGCTGGAAAGTGAAATTTTTGACCTGTATCTATAAATACGCTGTTGTAAATTTTAATGTGCTTAGAAGGTTTGAAGAAATGATGAGCTCAGGGCTCCTGACTGAACTGAAGACGGAAGCCGTCAGCAATGCTCTAGTACCGCTGAGCAGCAATGCTGTAAACCCTTTTTAGCAAGCACAGTTATCTTTTGGGAAGAATTATGTAACTTACTTTCATGTATCTTTATTTTCAAAAATTTCTAAAGTGCACATGCATTATTTTTAAAATAAAACATCATATTTTAAAGACGACACCATTCAGTTAGATGTAAATTTGATGACACTGAATCAGTAGATAAAGTGGTTCATTGCTTTACCCAGGAAAGTAAGTTCTACACGTTGTCAGTTAGGCCTCCCTAGGCTGTTTCCAGCTCCCTGGTGGGGCTCTGTTCTGGCATGGATGTATACAAGTATGGATGTATGATGGCCTCATGGCAGGGGTTCCCATGAACACAGAGACAGTGCTGCTAGCTATGGACAGTACATACAGTTCCCAGCCCAACCCTCTGTAGCGGGACAGCGCACACCAAACATGTCCCTGGGTTATCTTGTATTCAATGAGGACTCATCTGGGCACAGCCACTGGGGTTGTGAAAATACATTTTAAGAAAAATAAATATTCTGCATAATGTATTTACAAGGATCAACTGTTTTGTTCTTCATCCCAATTACTCTAAGCTGGAAAACTATCATTTGACAACTACAAAGCATATTCTTGCTTGCTCATGTCAGTTCAGCACAAAATGTGGGGCTGAAAATCCAAAACTTTTTTGATCCATATTTAAAAATGTACAAAACTGCAAATTTTATAAGCTGAGAAGAGTTTCAAGAAAGAAGTACAAATGACTTCAGGGTCTCCTCTCTCTCACTGATGTTGCACAACAGCCAGAGCACCTTCCATGTTCTGTCAGGTTCTTCCGGAAGTGAGGCTGCACAGGTGCAGCCAGTCACCAACCCTGTCATCACCTCACGTAGAGGAATACTTACACCAACTACGGGACACACGGAATGCACAAGGGACAAGTATGGACAGGGGCACAGGGCTGAGGGCGTCATTAGAACTTGAAGAGGTCAATGAAGTGCTCGGGGGACACAGGTGTAAAGCAGCTGTCGGGGTCAGCCGCGGTGCAGGGGTGTCCTGAGTCCTGAGGAGAGAGCAGAGAGGGTGGTCAGAGTGCACTGTTATACTTTTACAGGACCAGCACCTGCATTTTGCTGAGCGAATCCTACTCCCTTCCTCCGCCATACAAATGCCTTAGCTGAGAATCAGTTCTTGGGCGGCCCCAGGGGAAGCATGACAACAGGTGACAATGTCTCGGCTCTGTAGTCCCCTGTAAGACATGGAAGCTACAGATCCCTGCCTCCTCCTGGCCCACCCTCCACATCCTGCCTCCTGCTTCCCCTTCCCATTGCAGGCTGTGGGGTGGGTAAGTAGTCTCCAACCACACACAGAGGGATGGGACACAGCACACACTGTCTCAAGAGCAGTGTGTAGAGTTGGTATTGTCCACACCAAGGAGCTGCAATTATTTTCACAAGAAGTAACAAGAGAGATCTAAGATTCGCAAACAGCTGGCACCATCTGGAGAGGCTCGGTGTGGCTGGAGCAGCTTCTCTGGCCCCCAGCGGAACACCCTGAGGGGCATGGATGGGTCTTCAGCCAGCTTTCTGGAATAAGCCTACTGTTGTTAGCAAGATCTGAACTTATGAAAGCTGTCACCTGACAGGGCAAAGACAGTGCACAAGCTGGAACAGCACACAGGAAGTACCTTCAACAACCAAGCAAGGTGGTAGTCCTTTGACAGCATGGAGACAGTCAGCAAGGGAGCAGCAAAGGGAGGAAAAGGAAAAGTAAGGATTAGACGGCGCTAGGCGGAGCTCGGCATTTAGGTGTGCAGCATGTGCTGGTGAAAACAGCTAAGACCCTGCATAACTAAATCTGATCAATATAAAATACGAAAAGAGTATCACTGGATACCCCATCTATACAATGAAAGGTGCTCTAGGACCAAGCCAGGCACAGTAGCTTTTAATCAGTGCCTCACAGCACGAGGAAGGCAGTGGCAGGTGGATCTCTTATGAATTAGAGGCCAGACTGGTCTACATAAAGAGCTTCAGGCCAGCCAGGGCCACATAGTAGAAAACCTGTCTCAACAAATAAATAAAAATAAATAAGAAAGCCTAGGGCAAGAGGAACAGTTCCATTTCCTTTTAAGTTTCCCAAACTGACAATGTGGAAGCCATAACACTCAATTATTTGTTGAAAAAGGCGTAAAGCAGTCCTCATATTTCCATGAAAAAGAAAGAAAGGAAAAAAAAAAAACAGATTCTGGGGGAAAGCCCCTCGCCTTTCTCCTTGTCCTGGGGGTCTGCTCTGTGATTAACAATGTCTGCTGTCACTTCTGTGTGGCCTGCAGCCCTGTGCTGGGGGCTGCTTCTGTGCTCTCTAACTAAGGCTCTGTCTCTACCCTGCTCAGGAGTGGCTAACATTTCAGCTCTGCTCATAGGGGCAGTTGACAAAAACAGGCCAGTAGAGAAGGTCCGGGATCTCTGCCTCATCACTGGTCACAGCCTTGCTTCCACTGCCTGCGGAGACCACTAGGTAGCTGCTAAATGCTAGCCCTTGGCTACTGAAAGCCTGAGACAAGAAAGGAGCACAGAAAGGCCAAGTCCCTGTCCTAGCTCCCTTAGCCCTCTCTCTGAGCCTACAATTTCTGATAGGTTTCACAGTCGGGAAACTTAGTGGGGATGGAGAGAGACACATGCATACACTGCTTGGCCGCCTCAGTGTGCTGGCAAACTGGGTGGGGACAAATGATTGTGTCTTTCACAGCAATGGAAAAATTCTGAGTATAGTGGAACTAGAACAGATGGAAAACCAGCTTGGGAGGAGGCACGGTCCCCGTAAGGATAGGTGGTCACTATGGAACATGCTAGGCACAAGACAAGATGCTGCCCAACTATAGTATGGCTCTTGACCATACCCAGGGCTAGCTGAGGACTAGGTACCCCTCTTCCACATGCCTAATGGGTCCACCTGTCAGGCTGCACGCTGCCATACCTGTAGCACACTGGTCACCCGGGCCTGACTGTATACCTATGCTCTCCCAAGGGCGCTGCTTCTGGACAGCGGTGTACCTCGGCAGAGCAACAATCTGACAGCTTCAGGGATGAGAAAGGTAATCTTCTTTACATTCTCACCCTTGTGTTTGGAAACAGATCCTCAAACGCACAGAGCCTCTGGAAGGATGGTATGTGGGAAACTGTTAACATGACTCCCTGAAGCTTCAGACATCCTGCCAGGCCTGGTGCCACTCTCCCTCCGTCTGTCTCCCAGAATGGCAAAGACCAGCAAGGGTCTGCCCTTTAAGGACTTATTCCAAATTTTCATAATGTGATCACGGTGGCAGGTGAGGCCAATTAAATATAGAAATTTGGAGGCCAGTTCTTTGGAAATAAAAATAACCAGAACATAGATATTTCATGGAACTTGAGCAGCACATTCTTACCCTGCTCAACAATAGAGCCGTACAGAGATGGGACACAGGTTTCTCTGTGTTGTTTTCTATAGAGAGGAAAAGTTCCAAATATGTATAGACACTAATCCAAGAAAAATGCTGACTATCACACACCCAGCTGAAAGCCTTCATGAGTAAAATCTTCCCCCACATAAGCATCCATCCCTTTACTATTTCTACAGCGTAAGATAATCTTGGAGGAAATAGAAAGCCCTCTGTAGGGGACACTGAACATTAGTGGCCTCACTCTGACTGGGACAGAGACAGGACCTCATCTTCGCAGACTTAGTGACACAGGAGAGTCCTGGACCGGCTGCTGAGCACAACCAGGATCCCGCTGCATTCAGGTGTCAAAGCTCCTTTTGCGCCCCCTGTCTGGGGAGGAGGGAACACTAGAGGTTTACACACACTACAGTTGTGTATGTAAAACCTCTCACCAAGGACTTGAAGACAAAATGAACACAAGATGACCCTGTTCTCAAGAGAAAGGGTTCTAAACAACAGCCTGCCTGCTGCAAAGATACTTCACATACTTGGCGCTTTTAATTTTGAGAAAGAAGGGAACCAAGGTCAGGGAGACAAAGCCTCCTCAGCTGTTCTTGCTGGAGACATCAGCAACTACTGCTCAGAGCCCTGTGAAAATACCACACAGTATCAGCATCTTCACTCCCCTGCTCAGGTCTGGACCACCGTAACAAAAGGCTATGCGAACAGAAACAAAGTTTGAAATGAAAAAAATGTTGAAAAGTTGTCCTTTGTCAACGATTTAAGAGCTTGCCTTGTGTCCCATTTGCTAACAAACCTAGACAGATGTGAAACAAAACCATCCAAGCACATTACAGCAGCTCCCAGGGAGAGGAAGTGACGCACAGGCTCACCTCTGGCTATGGGGCACATGCCATGTAACCAGAGACAGTATGGATGGTGAGACAGCGCAACAGGATGAAGGGCTCCTGGTTTACTGCTCAGATATGAGAAGTGCTGATTGAAGCATTTAAGGTTTTCACTAGAGGACCAGTCTTGTGGGTAACAGAATTATAGCCCTGTTAAGACTCCACATTTATCCTGAAGCATGTCTTCCTATGGCCCCACTGCCTAACCTAAGAACTTGGCTTGAGTGAAGAGGCTAAAGACTGTCCTAATACCCCCAGAGAGTGGGCCTGCCTTCCAGATGTCCCAAGGGCATGGGCAGACAAGTTCAAGTTCTTCAGGTTAGGTGTGAGGCACCCAGAGCCCTATTCAGGACGGGCCACTCAGGAGCCTCGTCTGCCCCCATCATAGCTCCTAGACTACATCTCCAGCAAGGACAACCCTCCATTCAGAGGCAGCACTTCAGTTTCAACAATGTTGGCTTTTCAACCCAAGCGTACCTTTTTATGGCTGCCTCTCAATCCCCTCCCCAGTACCTAGTGAAACGCATTTCAGTAACATTCCCACCACAAACATTATTTCCATTCTTCTCTTACCTTTGTATTTAAGATACAGGTGAATAGTTTGTTTCACTGAATTCCAGTCCTCACATTGCAAGAGTACATCTTAAATCATTACCTTCCAGAAGAGAATGCTGCAGTGCCGACAGAAATGTAAAGTGTCTCCATACTGCTCTTTAGTCGGGTAATATTTCTGAAGCGTAAAATACATCAACTTCCATTCGATATGACCTTTTTCTGAAAGGATCAAATGTCTACAAAACTAAAAAAAGAAAATTCTGTTCAGAATTACTAGATGATTTTTTTAAAAATATGCACTAGGTATGTATTTTTTTAAGGCAGAGCAGTGCATGAAATATTTTAAGATCTAAAATTGAACTTAGTTGGATTAAATCAATGAGGTACAAGTCAAGCCAAGCAAATCATGCTATTCCTATACAGTGACAGCAAGCAGCTGAGAGCCAGACAGAAAAGAGCTCTGGATAAGGTCTGTGAGACCTGACAAGGCCATGTACTTGATAAGGGTCTTGAAGGCAGAACACATAAAGAACACTCATGACTTAGCTTCAGAATGGATAACAGACTTGAAAAAGCATTTCTGCTACCAAAACACACAAGTGGTCAATGTCCTTGTGAAGGGATGGCGACCACCTGAAGCGAAGGGTGCACCACCTCACACCAACTTGGACGGTGTAATTAGAAAGTCAGGCAACAAGCGCAGGGGAGGGTGGAGCAACCACAGGCCTGCTGTTCTGTAGGGACGCAAAGTGCTGTGGCTACTGAAAAACAGTGCACTTTCTCCAAGGTTAAACAAAGCTAGTGAGTTCTAATTCCACTACTAGGAAATTATTTTAGACAAATGGAAACATGTCCATACACAAACTCATCAGTGCATGTCCACAGAGACAATCCTCATAGCTACAAGGTTTGCAAGGAAACCCAGTGACCATGACCAGAGGAATGGGTAGACAAAACATGGTGTGTCTGAAGAATAGAATCTTTAGCCTCCAAAAGAACGAACTTTTGATTCCTACTCCAGACGCCTCCTGAAGGGCATTGGGGGAAAGAAGGTGTCACAACAGCCTGACTGCTGCGTATTCTGCTCACGCCACACATCCAAACCAGGAAATCCAGTCAGAAAGTGGACAAGGGGTTGCCTAGGGGTAGAGTGGGCTGAGATGCCAGTGGACAAGGCTCTTGAGACAACAATGATGTCCAAAACCAACTCTAGTGACAGAGATAAAAACTGGACAGCATCTTAACGACATTACCAAAAAATGCCTGGGCAATATAATTTGGGTCATGAGAACATAAAGCATGTGACTAGATAAGGGCTATGTATGTGCTGTGCACATAGGGAATTGTGTGGCTGATAGGCGCTGTCCGTGTTCATGCTGAAAAGATGCCCTTGCCTAAGTGTGCTACCGCTTTTTATGAGTGTTTTGCTTCTTACAACTGAGAACAGTCACTTGTACAACACGTAGTCACCACACCTTTTGAGGACTTTGTTTGGAAATGATAATGGAACCAATGGGGAAGCTTACTTCTGCTACAATTTGAAGAGGAGACAGTTTGAAGAGCAGAGGGGGCCAATTACAGGGCTGGCTATAGCAATTTCTGTATCCTTTAAGCACCATGGAAACATTAGTTTCTGGAGACAAAAATACCTCTGCCTTGTCTTCTTCCCCCCTCACTGTTCCCTGCTGCACCAATGTTCACAGGAGGAACACCCACATTCCTGAATGGTTTTTCTTCTACATAAGAACCTGTGGTCTCTCTGCTGCCCATACCTCACATCAAACACGTGTTGCTAATGGCTCCTTCTTATGTCACTATGGACTGTCAATCCAGGCGGTCAGCTTCACCTGAAGTGCTTCCTAACCTATACCGTCTGTTTGACCCTAATTCCAAACTACTGCTAATCCTGAGAAATCAGTACAGATTCGGTTTTGTGATTCAGTCAGAAAAATAATACATCAGTCAGGCACACACCTTTAATCCCAGCACTCAGGAGGGCAGAGGCAGGCAGAGCATTGTGAGTTCGAGGCCAGCCTGGTCTACAAAGCAAGTCCAGGACAGCCAAGGCTACCCAGAAAAACCCTGTCTTGAAAAACAGAAAAAAGGAAAAGAAAATATTCACCAAAACATGTATTCATGGGTGCTAATAACTACAAACTCTAATCTAACTTCTTACAGAGTGTAAGTATTGGGCTGGAGAGGGCTCAGAGGTTAAGAACACCAGCTGCTCTTCCAAAGGTCCTGAGTTCAGTTCCCAGCATCCACAGGGTGGCTCACAACCATCTACAATGAGATCTGGTGCCCTCTTCTGGTGTGCAGGCGCACATGCAGGCAGAGTACTGTACACATAATAAATAAATCTTAAAAAAAACAAAAAAGAAAACAAAACAAAACAAAACAAAAAAGAATGTAAGTATTGTTGCAAATTGACCTTTAAAGTGTTTCATCAAGGACTTACAAATGGTCACCTGGAATCCTGAAGGTATGCTGGTATCTGGATATCTAACAGCCACCAGGCACTTTGGTAACCCACCTGAGCCCTGGTTCCTTTCCCTGTGGGTACCCTTGGAGGTAGGTCCCAGAGCAACTGGGTAATGTACACAGCCCATCCAACATACACTTAATCATCATTATGTCCATGGTTCTAAGTCTTTAAGATTATTCAACCTCTCCTGCACTTCTGATGTCAATTCAAACCCAATCTCACAGAGAGGACAGAATCATGGTTGTCAGCTGAGAAAGACAGTAAGGGAGCATGAAGGGACAGGATGGTTCATGATCCAGGGGTACAACGGATGTCCCCTCCCGCTCAGATGAAGCAGCCCACCTAGCAGGTGTCAAGCCCAGCCTCTCCACACCCCTTCCAAAGGACCATGTGTTGTGCTCATCCTTCGTCCTGACTGCATCGCTCCATGTCTGAGATACCAGAGCATCTTGAGCTCTCACAGACTTGCTCTGGCTCCCCTCAGGGCTCTGCTTACGCCTCTCTTAGGGTCCTGGCTGGACCTGTACATATCCCTGAGTACCACCTTTACTTCTCTGGGCCTCCTCGTGCCCACACCAGTGTTACTCTCAAGCAAGATCCAGTGGGCCATTTAAAAGGTGCCTATGTTCCAGAGGTTTCACTGGATTTTCTAAGCTAGATGGAATCTTGAACGTGGCTAAGAGTCTTGATTCTTTCTTCCTGGGACCTGCTTTCTATTTCTACTCTGCCCTTACTTGACATGGAATCAATGTTACCAACTTCACAATGCTCCTGTATCTCAGTCATGTCCACACCTCTAACGAGAGACAACATATCACTTGTCCCTTCCTACACCTGCATGGAATAGGGGACGCTTCATGCAATAAGCCAGGGATGCCTAGATGCCACAGAAGAGCAGAAGTGGGGATTTCACTCTGGAGCAGGAGACGTGGAGGACCTCGAGATGGTGCCACCAAGTGGAAAGCATGGGAGCTGCAGGGCCAGGTGGCTCTTCCAGAGTAACAGGCTGCCAGAGGCAGAGCTGGAGTGGGATTTGTTAGGTGGAGAGAACACCGCGGCCTTTTCCCAGTGAGTGCGACACAGCTCAGCTAGTCATGTTATTCGTCACTAGGCCACCCTTACAATCATGAAATGTGAGCTTGTAACTGATAGAATTCAGAAGCGGCTTCAGTAATCAAGTTGCTACCAAGTCCCTGCGAATGAAGTCCACGTCCTCCCCAGGTTCATCTGAGCACAAGGGACCCTGGATGTGGACTTGACTCAAGGGTACTGCACCACACACACACCTGCTTCTCAGCGAAGTGGTACTGACACAGTTTCTTCCACAGCCGCCGATCTTCACTGAGCATGTACAGGGTTGGAGTCACCTGGCCCAGGGTGACAATGTCCCAGCCATCTGAGAAACGGTACAGGATGTTGTTCAGCATGTGCAAGGGCAGGTCACTGAGTGTGAGGCCAGTGTTTACCTGCTAAAAGGAAACACAGTGGTGTCAAATGGAGAAAACGCGTGGCTCCCCTCAATAAAAAAACAGTGGCCACGCTGCACACAACTATAGGACTACAGGAAAGAAGCCATGTCCTTTAATGTCGCTTCAGTCTTACCTCACTACTGGGCAGGGTGGTCTCACAGGGGCTGGCACATAGCAATATCCCTGTGCCCAGGAAGCTGAACCCTTGGACATGCTAACTAGAACTATACCTGGAAATGTTGGGTCTGAAATGTGGAACTGCAGATGACAGTAATCATGCTTCATGGCAGCAATGGAAATAAGGACCATGAGGTACTCCACACCATGATCATCCAGAGACAGGCCCAGAGTGTATAATGTCTCCCTAGCTTTATTGGCATCTATCTTTAAATCTGAATTTTCTCTGTATTGAGCATTTAACACATTTATGATACACAGTATTGTATCTGATTAACACAAAACAAACAAGCTTCTACAGCAAAGAAGAAAGTAGAGAGTGAAAGAGAATGTGTGCCAGCTAGTCATCTGATGGGTTAATAAAAAATGCTAGGAAATCACAGAACTCAATGAAGGACCCCAAGAAATCCTAATTTAAAATGGGTGAATTAATTGAACAGACATTTCTCAAGAGGAAATGAAGATAGCCTACAAGTATGTGCAAATACTCAATATCACTAATAATCAGAGAAATACAAATAAAACTCACAACAAGGCACCAGTGAGAATGGCAATTATTAAAACAGCAAAATAAGCCAGGCACGATGGCGTATACCTGTAATCCCAGCACTCAGGTAGACAGAGGTAGGCAGATCTCTGTGGCTAGCCTGGTCTACAAGCGAGTCCAGGACAGCCAAGGCTACACAGAGAAACCCTGTCTCGAAAAACCAAAACCAAACCAAACCAAAACAACAACAACAAAAACCCAGCAAAATAACAAATGCTGGTAATGGAGAGAAAGGGGAAATCTCTTAGACTGTTGATACAATATAAATGTAAATTAGCAAAGAACAGCCTGGACATTCCTGAAAAAAAAAAAAAAAAGGACTCAGCAATGCTGCCAATGGGTATGTATCTATCATCACAGGGAACTGAAATCACATAGTAGCAGATTGACACTAGCCAAGACATGGAACCAACCTGTTGTCCACTGAAACACGATTTTAATAGAGTAAATGTGTTATGTATTATTCAGCCACAAAATGACATACTATCATTTTCACCACTATCAAGAAGCCATAGGTTATCCTGTTATGTGAAAGAAGTTAAGAATAGTAAAACAAAATACCACATGGAGAAATGAGAAAACTGGTCTGAAAGTAAAGAAGTAGACAGTGAAACAGTGGTTACCACAGTCTGGGGAAAGACAAAGAGACGAGGGGAGAGAATGTATGGCTAAGGGGTCTAGGAATGTATCTGTCTAGGAGAAATGACCTCTATATGCTCAGTAGCACAGCAGAATATAACTACAGTTGACAACAATTCACTGAACATCGCAGGTAGCTGGCAACTACACGAAAAAATGGTGGCCACTGCCCTGACACAGCCACAACACATCACAGATCTAAAGCATCACACTGCATCTCTTAAGCACATACGATCTTTGTGCCAATTAAAACTAAATTTAAATCAGATGTGATGGCATTCACTTTTAATCCCTGCACTCCACACAGAGGCAGGTGGGTCACTGTGAGTTCAATGCCAGTCTTGTCAACAAACCTAGACAGAGCTATATAGTAAGATGTTAAAAACAAACAAACAAAAAAACCCAAAAATTTAAAAAACCTAAATCCCCAAACCCAAACAAACAAAAGGAAACTTACCTTAGTCATCTGCAGATTCTGCAGCTGCTGTTGCCAGTTGAGAACAGTTTCTAAGCGGCAAATCCAGATGTTGATGTTTCCCACTAACACAGACTTCCCCACCCCTCTGACGAGAATACAAAGAGTGGAGCTCAGGTCTTGGAGAAGGTCTTTGATCAGGCGAGGATTCTGGTGGTCATCAAGAACTGAAACAAACAAAACAAGCCACAGATCAAAACTTCCAGTGCTACTTCTATCAGTTATCTAGTCGCAACCCAAGTGTCCATCAACAGAAGAGCAAAGAGGAAACGTGATCCCTTCAGACACTCAGGGAAATCCTGACCTGTGACGTGTGGGCGGACCAGCCTTGAAGATGTATGACACAGCAAGGAGCCAGTTACAGAAGGGTGAACAGAATGTAAGCCCACGGCATTGAGTCCCCAGAGTCAGCAGACAGAGCTACAATGCTGGGTAGAAGTAGGGGCCTTGCACGTGGGAAGGGGTATCTGCTGGGTGCAGAGGTTAGGTACAGCGAAGCCATTCCAGAGGAGGCCGCAGTGGCTGCACGATCCACATGCACGCAGAGCTACTTAACAGTGTACTGGAAATCGATGAAAATAACACAGTTTATGTCATATGTATTTTTATCACATTAATAACCAAGGATCTCATTTCATGACAATTTAAAAGTGCTATCATTTTTGAGATATGACAACTATTAGTAGGAGTTTTAAAAGCTTTAAAATGCCACCTGACTAAATTTCTGGTTGGGTCTATAATTTTGTCTTTAAAGTTGTCAGTATACATTTTCTTTTGTACTTATGATATGGAGAATATTTAAAACAGCTACAAAGGGTCGCAAATGTGTATAAGCTAATGGTATAAAATATCAAGTTCCTTTTACATCTAGTCACTAATGAGTAAAGGTACATTAAATTAAAAGGGAAATTAAGACTTACAGGGTGCCTGAGTCAAAAAACTGCAGTCTTATGTATTAGAGAACCCAACAGTTGAATGAACTATGCCTGGTGAACCATGAAAGGACAAAGTGTCTTTGTAAGACTAGGTCTCTCTGGGATTAGTCTTTTCCTTTGAGCAAACATTTAGCAGCTGCAGAGACCCATCTTCTGCCTGGTGTCACAGAGTTCACATTATTATTTGTGAAGGTATACATACTATGGAAAGATAATTAGAAAAACCCCTCTACTTGCACCAAATTTCCAATGAAGATTTTGACTTAAAAATGCTGGTGATGCTAGTGCAGCAATGGCATGACCATTTGGGGAGGGGATGACAACCAACTCCTCTCTGGCTGGATTTGAATGCTTGCTCCATGGCAAGGGATACATAGCTGGTCCTGTAACCTGTTCAAAAGCCTGTGGCTGCAGAGGTCCTAGACCCTGGTGGGGGCGGGGTGATACTATTTCTATTTTGCTAAATAGACATGTCAAACTGTTTCTAAATATTTATATTTACCCATGGCCTACTGCTGCTCTCAGCTTTGCTCAAAGAGGTTTATTTTTGCAATGAAAAATAGTTAATACAGAGATTCTTCATTAGTCAAGGTGACAAGAATACGTGAGCACTAAGCGCTCAAACCTTAATGGCGAGAAAAGACTGTAAGACACCAGAGGATGGGAGGAGTGCATGAAATGCTGCCTTCTGGATGTGCCACAGCCACCGTAGTCATGAACATACAACAGCTAGGGCTACCTGCCTAAGGAGGGAGGGGCACTAGTTGGGAAGAAGGGCTCAGCAAGTTTCTTACGTGACTTCTGCCATGATGAAACACCATGACCAAAGCAACTTAGAGAGAAAAGGGGCTAATTGGCTAACACTTCCATATCACCATTCATCATCAAAGGAAGTCAGGGCAGGAACTCACACAGGGCAGGAACCTGAAGGCAGGAGCTGATGCCGAGGCCATGGAGGGTTCTGCTTATTGGCTTGCTCCCCATGGCTTGCTCAGCTGCTTTCTTGTAGAATCTAGGACCACCAGCCCAGGGATGGCACCATGTACATTGGGCTCTCTTCCATCAATCACTAATTTTTAAAATGCCCTACAGGCATGCCAAAGCCTGATCTTACTGAGGTATTTCCTCAGCTGAGGCTCCCTCCTCTCAGGTGACTTTAGCTTATGTAAAGCTGACATAAATCCAGCGAGCACAGCATGGGTGGGAAAGGGGAACAGAAACAAATACAAGCCAATATACCACGTAACTGTCAAAAATTTATAAAATTAAAAGCAGTGATGGCTTCCCTATCCTATGAATATGCTGCACTAAAAACTACTCAACTGTGTAAATGGCTGAGTTGTGTACTCTGTGAATTATTTATCAGTAAGTTTTTATTTTAAAAAGACAACAAATGTTCCAGTAATAATCTTACCCTTTTGGACGATTTTATCCAAAATGTTGAAGTAGTTCTTCTGTGCCACTCCACTCAGAGAGGTTAACTGGGACTTCGCAATTAGCTGCAGCAGCTTAAAGGCAAGAAGAAAAAGCTAAGCCGGCTGCGAGTCCACTTACTATGGAAATACCATGGTCACACATTGCAGCTACTGGGAAACGCACACTCTAGATAAGGTGGCTGCAGAAAAGGACTGCTATCTATGTGGGGGAGGGGCCTTGACTCCACTCCTGAGGCAGCAGCAAGCCTGCTTTCTGTCCTCAAGAATCACTCCAGGGAATCTCACTCTCAATAGGCCTGCTACAGCAGGTGAGATGAATAAATGCTCAACCTTCCAGCCTTTTCCTCACCTCAGCGGGGAGCTGCAGACAATCCTGGTCACTAACAGACTTCCATCATGCTCCTGCATGCTCTGATCCACTGTCTAAAGCTGACTAGACAATCAAGAAATCAAAAGACCCTTCCTTTCATGTTGAAATTTAATCACCACACTCAATCTCTTAAAATACCCCTTCAAACATGTAGAAAATTAGGAACCAAGAAGGGTCACTGTAAGGGAGTCTCAGCAGGGCCAGGGCTGGCGGTAAACAAAGGCTCATCCTGCAGCCTGTGCCTCCCACAGTCCTTCTACTCTGTTACAAACTGGCCCCTGTGGGCACTGCAAAGGGGCTGTGTCCTCCCTGGCTTCCTGTTCCTCTCCATTTTTATTTATATCCACTGTACGTTTCCCACCCTTCCATTCCCAACTTCAGGCCCCTACATTCTGGCTCTTTACCGTGTATAACCTGGAGTTGGGCTGTGCTTTTTGACCCAAACTAGAAACATTTACTTAACAAACTTGTTTATGTTTATTGATATAATAAAGGTATGGCTTTGATTCTGCCGTGTTTTTATAACTTAAAAGAAAAAAAAAAAACTTCTTATTCTTTCCCTCTAGTTCTTTCAAAACTTAGGTGGGTTTACATTCTACTGTCCTGATGACACTTGCAATTTCAACTCTACATGACTCTTCTCTTGCCCTCTCAGGCTTCAGAGGATAGATACATCCACCTACATCAGTTGCCTGTTCCAAGTCACAACAAACCTGCCACCTTCTTTTCTCTCCTCCTTTCCAGAGCTCTGAGTTGGGGAATGACATCTGGCCCACAGTTTGCCATCTTAGACCGAGAACAAATCAGAGTGAAACAGACCCTCAACAGACCTGCAATGAACAGCAAGACTAAAGCAGTGATGAGGGCTCTCTTCAAGGAAAATCCCAGGACCAAACAGCTTTGCTACTGAATCTACGAAACATTTAAAGAACCACTATACCTTCTTCTCAAATTATTCCAAGGAAGTCTTCCAAATGCATACCATGAGACCAGCAGTATCAACACCAAAAGCAAATTAAGATTCAACAACAGAAGAGTCCAGGAAGAAACCTGATTTAAAAACAAAAAAAAAAAAACAAACAGATGCTAAAGTCTGTTCACCTGCCCAATTGCAGGAAAGAGAAACCAGCCGCACTCATGATTACTGAAATGAACTGCAGTTCATTTCACATAGGCAAACAATAAGCCATAAACACATTAACAGTGTAGGAAGAAAAATATCATAATCATCTCAATAAACACAAAAAGAATATTTGCCTAAACCCAACAACCTATTCTGGTAACAAAGGACATAAAGAAAGAACAAAAGGAGTAAAACTAAGGACACACAAGCCAGCCAAGGCTCCCATCACAATGAACTGAACTGCTGAAGCTCCCTCTGACCTGAAACAAGACACTTTGCTTCAGAACAGAACCTTCATCCTATGTTGCTTTTGTCAGAGTATTTCACTATAGCAACAGGAAGCTAGGACACCTAGCTACAGGGCTAGGTTAGTTACATTGCAAACAGGTGTTAAGTACCAGCTCTTTTAAGAAAACTTGTTATTTAGAAACAGAAGTCACTTCTACTTTGTTAAAAGATTATTTACAGAAGTATTTTAGAGCCAGTAGAACAGTATTGTAAAATCTGGCCTATGTCCTCCCTGGATAGCTAACTCCTTAACACTTGAATAAGCCAGGGTGAATCTCCATGTCATCACCAGCACAGAGGCACCTAGACAGATGCTCTGCAGAGCTCAGGAACCACCACCCTATGAAGAACCTGTGACTGCTTCTCCCGCCACAGGCCAGTGTCGCCTAGAACCACATTACACATCACACTGGCTGAGGCCATGCACACTTGCCGGGCATCTCTGTCTTCGAATCAATACTTCCAATGCCCAGAAGGCAGAAAGAGTCTCGGGGCCTGGGAACAGGGGCAGCAGGTGTGGGGCCTGCCTCTTGCTCACGTAGGACACAGAGTGAGCCACAGCCAAAAGCAAACTCTAAGCAAAGACCTTTTCCTTCTGAGTGTAGCCCAGGGCAGAGACTTCTCAAGCCATCAATAACGCAGCGAGACTTTTGTAGAGTTCTTTTTTGTGTGAAGTTCCTCTAGTCTATCAGCCAGTTGTTCCTTCCTATATAAAAAGGTTCATTCTGAGTGGGTAAAGGAAGTGGAAAATGCATGTGGGGTCATCAGGGATCCTCCTGAGCTCAACTGTCTCAAGTGTTTCCAAGAAGGAGGCCCCAAAAGTCTTAGTTCCCATGGCCTCCAGGCAGGATGGTCTCACCATGCTTGAGACTTCAACTGTGACCTCAGTGCTGCAACCCCCACCCCCGCCATGTTTTCTCCTGAGCTGTCCCTTTCCTTTCTATACTGGAAACAGGTGACCCTTTATGCAGCTGTCAAAGGTACCTTGAATATCTCACATCTGTAATCTCACCAAAGCTGCTTCTGGAATACCAACTTACTTTGACCACGTACGTGAACCTTCTGATATCCTGAATTGCACTTGAGAAGTCTAGCCGGTTGAAGGCTTCTCCCAGGGTGCAGTAGCCATGCCTCTGGAAAACAGCAGACAAGCAGTGCAATCAGCCAGCCAAGTTAAATGAGTGAACACTGACATCAGTTAGGTGTGTAAACTCTCTAGCCAAAGGCATTTGTATTCATTCTAAACACTTCTGTCAGATATAGAGGAAAACAGAGCAATGCTATTCAAGCCAACTATGTGTAACTGAGACACTGACAGTCTAATGGTCTAATGACGAGAAGTATTCAGGAAGCACTCTTCTGCTTTTTGTTGTGGGGACAAGGTGGGGGAACAGGAGCCTCGGGTGCTGTACAGGCCCAGCAGCTTCTCTCTGCAGGCAGCTCTGACTGCCCTGGTGCAGGTGTGCTCAGCCACAGAGCAGTAAGCCTTCGAGGGGCCACTGGCAACAGGAGGCAACTCTGACACACAGGTGTGAGTAGGCTGGAGGGCGTATGGCCCATGCCTGACAACAGCTGGTTTCCAGGCTGGGACCATGGGAGCTGAGCACCCCAAAAGCCAACTGCTACAATGAGATGCGCAGACCTGGGAATCAAAAATGAAATGCAAGTAATTTCTCCTCGGTGCCATAAATACTGCTATTCTATCTGAAAGGTCTTCTGTTTTCTGTATCAGTCTGTACAGATTTCACCTCAGGTCAGGAAAGATTTTAAACCCTACCTTCTGCATCTGAAATACCTAAACTATGCACAGATTTTCAGCTCAGAGTCCTCCAAATGAACTGGAGGACAGTAAAGAGGCCACAAGGTGACAAGTGACTTTGAGGTCGAAACAGGTTAGCGGGGCTGCTGAAGAGCAACAGAGATAGCAAGGTGTCTGCTGGCCTCGGGGTGAAAGTGTAGAACCCAATCACACATTCACACAAAACATCAATACCCTGAGCATTTGCTGCGTGTAAAGCACCACTGTGGACTGTGGGAAGTATAACCGGAAGTGCAGGTCACTATAAGGAAAGAATCCTGTTGGTGGTGAACACGCCTCTCTGAGGTACCTACTCTCACAAGGAACAAGCTCAGAGTGCACACTCAAGGGCATCTGTCTCCAAAGGCTGCCTGGGTCAGTACCAGGCATAAAGAGGGTGACACAGGACCAGACCCTGACCCGACAGCTAGTCCTTAGTTCTTTGTAAGCCTGCAAGATCCCATCCCAAGAGGCTCCAGGACATCCTGGCAGTGTCCTTACATAGTCCTCATGTTGCCTTTCCCAGACAGAATTCACACAACTCACAAAGTGAGTAAGCTATTTAATCAAGCTTGGCTTTGTACAAACCAGGTTAGCTCTGTCAGTCTGTCAACGGCTGTTTGTCAAGGACTGGACTCACGCTATGCCCACTCAATGACATTACCATCACCAAGTACGCTTTCTTTCTCACAATCAACTGTCTTTTAGGAGGCTGGAATAGTTTAAAACCACCAAGTCCCACAGCTTGAGTTCAATTCCAGGACCCACACAGAAGGAGAAAGCTGACTCCTACAACTTGTCCTACACGTGGACCTCCCCATCCCTGCCATAGCATGTAAGCAGGCACACACAGGCGCGCGCACACGCACACACACTAGTGTGCGCACACAGAAATAAATAAATGAATGAATAAATATGGTAATTTTTCAAATAAAGACATTATTTACATTTCTGAAACATTTAACTGATCCTAACCTCACAATTAGGCAATGAGAAACTGCACCCCTTGTTTCTTTTCACCAACAGATGCAGATGTGCAAGTCTGTAAAATGAACTAGGTTTACTTAAAACTAAGTAGAGAAGCAAGAAACACAGTGTAGCCGATTGGTTTGTGTGATGACTCATAAGAGGGCTTTAGTGCACAGTGTTCTGCAGAGCCGACCTCAGTGTAGCACCCTTGAGCCACTATGCATTATGGACGGAGGAGCTCACGGGCGTCTTATTCTGAAAACACGGCACAAAGTAGAATCTTCACCAGTAGCAGCAGCTTCCGCTGACAGAGCATAGATCAAACCCACAGGATGTCTGCTTGGTTGTAAGGAACCTTGCTGATTTAGAGATGCATGAAGATATGAAGTACACACACTTCATACACACTACAAACACCGCTGTAACACACACGCATGCACACACACAGTCCATGCACAAACATATCACAAATATGTACTGTATACTACATTCATGTGCCCCATACAATTACACAAGCATGCCATATACTGCACACAAGCACATATCACATACACATTATACCCCAATACACTATACATACAAATATACTACATGGCACTCAGAGGTACGCAGCATAGGCCACATATATGCACACTGTACACATATGCACATACCACAGCACAAACACGTACCATACAAGTTATAGAGCACAAACATACTACATGCATTATATACCACAAACATATCCAACATCACACATACCCCTGTACCACACAGACATACACATATCAATGAACACACGTACATGTACATAATGATCACGGCTTAAAACATCTGTTGGAATGTGAGTTACAGACCTCAACTTCCTGAAGGAATTAATTAATGTGACATACTCAACAGCAACAATACAGTATTCAGTCTTCTAATGGCATACTTACTTCTTTTGTGCTTTCTTTATGGACATAGATCCATTTTTCACGATAAAAACCTAGAACAAAGATGAAATGTATCTGTTGTTTTTATTTCCTCAGAAGAGGGGATGAGGTAAGAGCCATACCCAAGCTTTACAAATACATGGCTTGAGCTGAGCCCAGAGTGTTTCTATCTAACTGTGCCTAGGCCTAGGCCTGGAGGCTTCTAGTCTCCATACAATCTAATCTTCTGCAAGCCTGGACTTTGAAGGCTTCAGCTTCTAGCCCCATCTCCTAATCTAGTCCTAGAATGTTTTCAGCCTCCGAGACTTACTGCTGAATAAGCTCACCCTTTCTAGTTCTTTCTGATCTCTAGCTGGCTGGTCCAACTCAGCTGTTCTTGCTCAAAACTCCTTTCCAAGATGACTGATTCAGACTGGCTTCTCAGCTTCTTATTGAATTGCTCTACTTGAAATAAACTTCCCTGAACTCCACCAAACTACACTGAACTGTTCTGTACTCTTAAATTACTGCACTATCTCCATGAACTTTCTTGCTCTCTCGCTGTGCTGCTCTTGAGTAGCTTCTATCTCCTATCTAGTCTCGTGGAAGCTGAGCATATTCTGTCTCTAACTTATCCTGTCAAATCTTTCTCGCTTGTCTGTCCCTCAATTAGATATCATTGTTTGGGATTAAAGGTATGCATTAAAGGCATGTCTATATTCCAGCCAGAGAGATTAAAGGTGTGTCATGTCTATATTCCAGCAGGAGGGATTAAAGGTGTCTAAGGGCATGTCTATATTCCAACCGGATTACAGACATAGGTCTTTGGATATGATCCCATGCCAGAGCAGCCATATTGCTGGCCTCTGCAAAATGTCTTTAAAATCTAGCAGATTATTTCAATCTCAAGATTTTAGGGGAACTGTAATGACAGGATACGCTGACAAAATTATCTCACTGTCCCAGCTAAGAGATGCCTTTGCTTGGTAAGTGTAAACAGTGTTCTTTGTTCCCTAATGTCCCGTAAGTGCTCAGACATCTCTACATGAAAAGTCATTTTTAGGGCTGGAGAGATGGCTTGGAGATTAAGAGCACTGGCTGCTCTTCCAGAAGTCCTGAGTTCAGTTCCCACATAGTGGCTCACAACCATCTATAATGAGATCTTGTGCCCTCTTCTGACCTGGAGGCATACTTCCAGGAAGAACACTGTATACATATATATATATACATACATACATACATACATACATACATACATACATACATTACATACATACATACATAAACAAACAAATATTAAAAAAGAAAGTTATTTTTAATACCACCATATCTTATTAGCTTAGAAAAATTAATAGCTATAAGAAAGTACAGATGCTTATAAAATTTCTATAATATTATCTCTATATCATTATATACCTAATAGAAGGCTCTGGTCTTCTACTATGTGTTATGGCCACACATGATCAACATAAGTAAGATCATAAAGCTTCTCCGTGTGACTCTACCTTCTCCTCACTTTAACAGGTATTCTATCAATGTGGGCAAAGCTGAGACGAAACCCAAACTTCCCCAAGCCCTCCTACCTGCACATCATCGCCCCTCGCCCCAGCTCTGCCCACCTCTGGCTCCAGTCCTCACTCCCCAGTGGCCCTGCATGTAGATAGTCCCTCCCTGGGGCCTTTCTGTTCACAAGGGAGCTCAGTTCAGGACTGCACGTGGCTGCTCGGATGCAGAGATATGCTTCAGGCTTGCCATCTTGGTGTGGAGAACCTCATCAACCAAACAGCTGAGGTACAAGTAGTCTGATGGCCACACAGACAGACAGCACTGAGCACACTGCCTATTTGCACGCCTGCAGCAGCCTGTACCTCACACGACAGCACTGCCAAACAATTCATCATGGCAACACATAGAGTCCACAAACAAGAAATTACAGAGTTATCAGTGAAAACACTCTTACTGTGAGCAGCCGTGTCATTCCCAAAATGTTCCTTCTTCCTCTTTTTGGCTGCATATTCACACTCATTATTGAATATTTCTTCTTCGCCACTATTTAAGATACTGAAATAAAGATACTTCATTAAAGTAAGTTTTTCATGAAAAAATTAATTTAGCATTTCTTTTTGTAAGAAAGTAAGTATTTGCTTGGTAATCTGGGGGATCAAAATAGAGACCTTATTAAACCCTGGAGAGTAATAGCTAAATTTCAGGGAAGTCATCAGCTTGAAACTCAAGAATAATATATACATTTTTTTTTTTATTTTGAAGGAAATAAGATTTTATTCTTGTTTCTTTTAAAAATGTTACTCTAGAAAATACCAGATAGGCTTTAGAATCTCCCAAACATCATAATACTTTAAGACCTGAGCTTTATAAACAAAACTATAAAAGCCTGAAAAGAACCCTAGTAGCAATATGACTATGGCAGTAAAACTTGCTATGTCCCCAATCAAAGTTGAGTAAACATTAATGTTCCTGCTATCATCTACATTTTCAAATATTTGGCTGAAGCTGACTGCTGCTGCACTGTGCATTCTTTAATAAACACCTATCAAATACACCAAGGTCTTAACAGAACCAGATAGACGAAGTTACACTTGTGGTAGTTAAACACAGTTACAGGATTTTAGCATTTTTTTCTTCTTTTTTTTTTTATGAAACAAGGAATTCAGGTAAAGCAATAACAACTCGAACACCTTTAAAAACAAAACAAAACAGAGTTTCCTCCTTGTAGTAAGAAGAACTTTCCAGCCTGGTGTATACCAGCCAGAATGAGTTCCATGATAGCCAGGGCTACAGAGAGAAACCCTGTCTCAAAAATCCAAACAAACAAAAAACAAACATAGAAAAAGTATAAGCAGCAATCCACACCATGAACCCAAAAATGCGTTTTTTGTTTTTTGTTTTGACACACTGAAGTTAATTTTCAGTCGAAAGCAAGGAAGAAACTGCTGTGGAGACAAGCTGGTAGAGCCATGTGAGAAAAATACTCAAAACTAAGGATCTAATAAAACTGTTTATTTCCCCATCAGTCTTCTTTGATGAGAAAATTGTGTAAAAACTGTGGCTTTTCATCCACCACCAGTGTACTCTTTTAATAAAACAGCTGAGTTTGCCACATTAAATCTGTTCATCACTGTCAGCAATTTAAACAGCACAGACAACGGTGGTAAATCATCCAGGCATCCAGAGAGCATCAAATACACAACTGCACTGCATCACAGCCACATAATGACACCAACTCCAGAACACACACAGCACCTTGAATCTTACAATCTTATATTTCCTCTTATACTACTAGTCTCTTATCACTGATTCAAACACTGGATAATTTTAACTTGAAAACGCTTTTTAACTAAAATCACAAACTTTTCAAAGGAAAAATGAGATGCTATTGCTCTCCTGAAAAATGAGATGCTATTGCTCTCCTGAAACTATCGCAGACAGGGGAGACAAGAGAGGAGGATGACCAGCCAGCTTCATAAGCTGGGGCTCCGTGTGCACGAGCTACAGGAGGCGTGTGAGGCAGAGCACAGGTGTGGACACTTGCCACCTTTAGATGCAGGAAACAGACCCCTTTCCAGCTGAGCCACAGACAGGCTTCCTGCAGAGGCAACCACAGACCTAGCTGCACCTTCTACAAGGCTGGTGGAATGCCCTCTAGGTATTGCTTCCTAAGCTGCCCCAGGGTTTGCTGTGAATCCCAGGAGTTGGGAATGAGGCCATGGGAGCCAACCCATAGCTCATAAATCAAAGATACATTCCTGCACTGGCAAATTATTAACTAGCTGCTATTTTTATGAGGTATTTAAGATAGGTACTTCCCGGTGATGGTTTATACTGCCAGGTATACAAAAGTGTAAAGTGAAGAGAAAAATGCTTCCAGGATTAAAATTTAACATGTATAAGTGTTAATAAAATTATTTATGTTGTACAAACCTTTCCGTTTTTCATGTATACAAACTATCAGTCAACTACATTTTAAAGCAAACACTTCCTTCTTTCTATAACCTTGGTCCTATGAGAAAGATAAATATTCCTTATCCAGCTTAAAAAGACAAAAGAATCTTCAACAATACTATTTCTCCAAAGGAGAAATGCACACAGCCTCAGAACACGTTAGAGTGTGTGCCACACCCTGAAGAAAACGTAAATCAAACCTGCCGTCAGACTTCACATTCACTAAGACGGCTACTGAAGATCCTGTGCCAAAGTTCAGAAAGTGCTGACGATGCAGAAGATGAGAACCGCTGTCCACACCAGCGCAGCCAGCGGGAAGCAGTACGCCAAGGCCCTAAACACCATCTAAACCCAAAGGACTGAAGACAGGCGCACACTCCAACACTAACAGTAACAGTCACACAGTGGCATGTCTAGGCATTCCCACATCTATCAACAACGACACACATAAACAAACGTAACTAATCCACACAACTAGTCAGTCTTAAGGAACTTTAGCAGTATGTGCTAAACACAGCTGGGTCTTGAAGACATTGTGCTGAAACAGATAACCTGGTCAGAGAAGATCGAAGGCTTAGAGGAAATCTTGAGGAGTGGTATGAGGTTGAGGGAAGGAATGAATTAATATTTACTGGGGAAAGTCACTTAGCTATGTTTCAGGTGCAAGCGTGGACTGGAGAGATGGCTCAGAGGGTAAGAGAGCTTGCTGTGCAAGCGGGAAGACCTGGGTTCAAATCCTCAGCACCCGTGTGAAAGCCGGGTTTGATTGACTATCCCTGTAACCCGTCATTGTCAGTGGAGACAGGCAAATCACGGGAGCTGTCAGGGCGACCTGACAGACGCACGAGGCTGGCAGTGGTGCCTAGACCTCACTGGGACTTACATGCTGTGATTGATGGTACACTGGCTGTTTTCACCTCTGAGCTCTTGGCTACAGGAGTCACACCTTTTCCATCCATCCTCAGTTTTAATCCAGCTCCACCCAGGAGATCTCCAGTCCTGACCCAGAAATGGCATAGTTCTCCTGTTAAAAAAAAAAAAAAAAATTAGTTTATTATAAGTTATATACACAGAACACAGAAGTCTTCTCATTTGGAACCAAACTCTTAACATGTAATGCATACTGCTCAGCACTGGCTAGCCCTGGTACCCAGTGGTGAGTACACAGTACTCTGTACTAAACCAGGGCCTACGTTAAGCCTGGTGGGTCTTCCTGCTTGACAGTGTGTGTCCTCAATGGTTTACCCCGGATGACATCTGAATCTGAATCTGAATCTGAATCTGAAGAAGTGGCTGAGGAATGCCATCTAAACAGCATTCCTCACTCCTTCTACCCTAGGCAACGAACTGAATCATAATCCCACCTCACCCCAGAGAGATGGCTGGGTAAGAGCAGAGAAAATGAAAACGGAATGTGGTCAGAAAGACGGGGAGGTTATGAGGCCAGATGAGGAAAAGGGGCTGGCTTCATCCTAAGAACCAAGAAGCAGGAAATCAGGAGGCAAATGGTTTCATCAGAGTCTCACTTTACAGGAAGTAAAGGCAGAGGGCCTCAAAGGATTGGAGGCGCAACCACAGCCATACTGCTGCAGTAAGGCAAGATCTACCGTGCAGGTGCTCTCAAGCACTGAGCTCCACAGAGATGACAGCAGAACAGCAGGCTTGGGAGGGGAAAGAGAAGGGATGCTGGGATTAGTGTTCGTAAGGTCCAAAGGTGGTTCTCATAGTGACTACTAAGAACTGCTCCAGGTAGTCATGTTTACCTATTCAAGATGTCACCTCCCTACAAAGGCTCCCCGGTCTCCTCATGGAAGCAGCTCCCTCCTGACATCCCCACCCCGCTCCCCAGTCTCTGCCATCATCATTATCTGAAAGTATTTATGTACTCACCATCTGTTTTCCTCCCAGACAATGCAATGTCTTACTCAGTGTTTACTCCAATTACCAAAAGCAATGTCAGGCGTACAGCTAGAGCTTAGTAAACAGTTATTTGTTTATTGAATGGATGAATATATAAGACCCATATCTCAGAAAAGAGATGGACATAACAGCATGAGAGTAAGCAGCATGGGAAAAATCAAGATGGCTAAAGAAAGAACTCCGAAGAACATAAACGGGCAATGGGTAACTTGATGGTGACAAGCCGAGGAAAGAACTGGAAAAGGAAGAGTGAGAATGTGGAGTGAAAGATGGAAAGTCAGCAAAAGAATGGAAAAAAGGGATGGGGAAAATATTGTTGAGAAGCCATACAACACAGGAGTTGGAAGGTGGCCGTTTTTAGGCTATTTATAGGAAGGAAGCTGAAGATTTGCACAGAACTTCAGCAGAGCAACCTGGATACTCAGAGCTATTTACATCCGAAAGAAATGTTCGGTGTACACAGTCAAAGTACACTTGGAATGGCCAGGGTGTAGCTTAGTGGCATGGCATTTGCCTCATATGTATGAGGCTTCAGGTTTAATATCCCCAGCACTGAAAAAACAAGCAGAACAAAGCAGACTTGCTGTGTTTCATGATGTAGATAGGCAATTTCTTTGAGTACTGAGGAGATCTCACACTATTTAGAATAACCAAGAAAGGCCTGGTTATCAAATGGGCATTCATACTATCTTGTAAGAGATGAACAGAAGGGAAAATGTGTAGATTTCAGCACTACCCATGTATTGCCTTCAAGAGGTCCTGGCCTATTATGTGAAAGGCATGCTAAAATAATTTTTGATTATTTTAGAGTGCAAAACCTTTCTAAACTAGTTTAGATACAAAACGTATCTTTTTCTCTTACATATTGCTTAAAATCCTGCATTAGAAGGTACTTAACAAAACATTCTTTAGATTTTAGACCTGTTATGTTATAAACCTACCTCATAGTTACCAATAATCTCAAAATGCAAAGTTCATCACCACATTTAGTCAACTGAGAGTTATCAGACTGTCGACAACATACAGGATGAAGGCAGAGAACACATGAGGGCATCGTCAGCCTAACACACTCTGCAGAAACGACTGTTGTTGCAACCAGCTCTGGTAACTGTCCAAGCGTCTCTTACTATCACATGGAAAGAATCAGAAAAAAATAAATCAACCCCGAAAAACCTAAAAAATTACTAATGACTGAAAGAAGGACTACTTCAATGATAAACACTGGACATGCACTAAGTTATGAGTCAGTCCTCACTGCCTACAGGAAGCAGCCTAGCCTAGAAGCTAAGATGTTCAGTAAAAAGAATGAGAGCATACAAAGACAATTGATGTATGTGATTTATAAGGTCCATGTTTATGTGCGGTACTTGCTTACACACACATAATCTTAAGATTATGAATACCATACTAGTGATAGAGTAACATAAATTTAAGTACAGCTAGGAAGGCCCTGAGAACAGAACATGGCTATACACGTATATATCATAAACGAAGAAGCAAAGACAGAAATGCCAGCCCCACCCCGTGGATGGAGAGAGTAAGGCTAAAAAATATGTGACAGGTCTGAAAGCAATAAGCAGTTTGGTTGAGCTTCAGTCCTAGAACTGTGACAGGGCCTTGAGAAGTTAACTGAGGAGTTCCGCTCTAACTTTTGAGACTAGTTTTTGAAGAGTGTGCTACTGTGAACAGCATTGTTTAGAAAGATAATTTTCTAGGGTCTGTAGCACAATATGAAGAGGAAAACAGAAATAGAAAAAACAACTCCTGCAACAAACCTGGACAGCTCCTCATTCATGTCCTAGGTACACCGTGCCCTTGGCTAACAAATTACCTTAAGTGTGATAACATACAAACACTGTTCTAACCTAGGAAGCCACTCCCTGTTAAGCATACTTATCTTTAAGCTTCAAAAAAATTTATCAAAAGAGCCATGTGGCATTTCAGATTCTAGGACTATAAATCAGTAGCACAGCACCTGCCTGGTTGTTCGTGAGGCCCTGTATTCACACGCAAGCCCCACTAAAAAGAGCAGCCACTGGGGCTCAGTGCACACCCGCACACCTGCACACCTGTAGCCCTGTACACACCTGTACTCCTGGCCCTGAATTCAAGGCCAGCCTTGAATTTCCAGAACAAGATCCTGTCTCAGAAAACAAAGGAAAAGCTGCAATTTAGAAGCTCCATGCCTCTGCTAATTTTTTAATCAATCTGAAGTGTCTGATTATGAGTATGAGAAATAATGTTACTGAAAGATTTTAAATGATGATAACCTACTTTTTAAGGAAATTTATCTACTTGGTTAAAAGACATGACTCACAAGAATTTTATTAATATGTTTAAATTAACACTGCCTTTATTTTGAGAATTTGCAAATGCGTAGACAGTCCAATTTTTTTTTTCTGTTGCTACAATAAAACCCTGACTAAAACCTTTATGTAAAAAAGGGTTTATTTTATCTCACATGTTAAAGTCCACCCTCCAGGAAGGGCAGTTCGGGAATTCAAGTGGAAGCTGCAGGATACTTACTGGCTCACGATCTGTGGCTTGCTAAGCTAGCTTTTTTTATAAAGCCCAGGCCCACCTGCCTAGGACTATGCAATCCAAAGTATACTGGGTCATCATACAGCAATTAGCAATCAAGAAAATAGCCAACAGAGACGCTCACAGGGCAGGAGTTCTCAACCTGTGCATCACAGCCCCTTTGGAGGAAGCAGCAGGCATCCTGCATGTCAGATACTTACATTACCCATAACAGGAGCAAAACTACAGTTATGAAGCAGCAGCAAAATAATTTTATGGTTGGGGGCCATTGCAACATGAAGAACTGTATTATAAGAGTCGCAGCATTAGGAAGGTTGAGAACCACTGCCATAGGTCAAGCTCGTGGAGTTAACTAGGCTCCCTGTTCCCAGGTGTGTCAAGTTGGCAACCAAGATTAGTCATCATATAAAGTAAAATCCAGAAATTATTTCTGAAAACTATATGTATGAGTAATGTCTTAAAGTCTACTTAGCTGTGACTGTTCAATTTTTTAAGTTTATTTATTTTTATTTTATGTGTATGAGTGTTTTGTTTGCACGTATGTAAGTGTGCCACACTCAAATGGTACCCAGTGAAGGACAGACAAAGGCATCATATCCCCTTGGAACTGGAGTTACATACAGTTGGGACCACTATGTGGGTGTTGGGAACTTACCCTAGTCCTCTGTAAGAGCATCAAGAGCTGAGCATCTTTCCAGCCCCTATCTACACTAGAATTTAAGCATAGGGCTTGCTAACTAACGCCAGAAAGCACTTGGGGTTGGAAACCTTTAAGGCTTCTGAGTTTCTATCTCCCACGGCAGGACACAAAGGCGGGGTACTACAGAAGAACAGGGTGAATTCTTCAAATTCATGTCCTAGTAGACACTAACGATCCTGAAGGAAGCAAAAATATGCTTTCTTCTTCTTCTACAAGCACATGTTCTCCTAATGAATGAAAATGGTGACAGCAAACACTGGAGCTCAGAATGGGCTGGGCATTAACTCTGAACCAGTCACATGACTCACACCTAGTTTAGTCCTCACCCTAACCAGTGAAGAAGAACTATCCTGACTTTAGAAATTTAATTCTCGTGGCTGGAGAGATGGCTCAATGGTTAAGAGCACTGTCTGCTCTTCCAGAGGTCCTGAGTTCAATTCCCAGCAACCACATGGTGGCTCACAACCATCTATACCCTTAACTGCTCTCTTCTAGCATGCAGGTGCACATGCAGATAAAGCACTAATATTAAATGCATTAAATAAATAAATAAATGAAATCTTAAAAAAAAACATTCTTAAAAAAAAAAAAGAAATTTAATTCTCTATTTTAAGGCTCAGTGATCAAGTACTAGCTTAGCATATCCAAGGCCCTGGGTTCCCCCACCTGTAGCACAACAAAAACCTCTCTTATTTTATACATGAGAGTATGGAAGGAAGAATTCCATAGGACAGGACTCAAAATTATGGACTCTCACTCCATAATCCATGCTCGTAGCCACTATAGTTATCATAATCTTAACAGCCTATTAAAACAGATTCCAAAAAATTACAGACTTGGATGCTATTTGTTGGTCTCTTTCTTTCTTTCTTTAGACGTGTGTTGCTCTACTTGTAAATTACATTAAAATATACATCAGTTACATTTATCTTGAAAACAATAAAAGCTTTGAGTGTATAGCAAGAGCATTATAATAATGAAGCAAAAATATCAAGGCAAATTCAATTTTGGAGAAAAAAGCTTCACTCTTATTTTTCATGTTGAATTTTGAGAAAGATAATTTCCATTGTTCTAGAGTAAAACTAAATGGACGGTCTGGGGCTGAAGAGACGGATCAGCGGTTAAGAGCACACTGTAACTGCTCTTGCTGAGGATCCAAGTTGGGTTCCCAGCAGCCAAATCAACACTGTAACTCTAATGGTAACGGAACCTCTGGTCTCCTTGGGCATTCGCGCACATGCCTACACACGGGCACACACATAAATAACAATAATAAAAGCCTTTTTTACTGAACAGTCTTCAACCTAATAAACATTTGATTTTGCCGCTGCGCTAGTTTTCTTTCAAAAATTTCAAGGAAATTAAATTCAAACAACTTGGATTAAATGTGAATAGGTTGCAAATGTGGGCAAATTTAGTTGCGAAAGATCATGAAGAAAAAACACTGCATCTTTCAGGCTGAATGTCAGAAATGGGATTTACTCCAAGGAGTCCAGAGAGATGCTTCGTAGTAAGACAACATATACATGCCCAGGAGCGAAGGAAAATGGAATGAGAAGAAAATGGGGGACCTTTCCCTGGTAATGTTGGGAAACTGATTGTTGGTGCTGCCGGCAAGAAAAAGGACCCTTGCCAGGGACTGTTCTCCAGATGCCCGAGTTCGGGGGAGTTTGAATAGGCCCAAGGATGGAGATGTAACTCCACCGGATAGAGGCAGAAATAAGGTGTGAGGATAAAGATGCAAATTCCCCGTGTCAGCAGCGCAAGCACTCGCAGGCCTGGAGGATGGCGCACAGACAGGTGTGCTCCGGAGGAGGCAGGGACCCGCAGACACAGGCCGGCGGGGCTTAGGGGCGGACGCCCGGACCCCGGGGAGGAGGACAAGACCACAGCCTGCTCGGGCCACCGGGCAGCACGGCGGCCGTCGGAGGGCGGGCCGGGGGCGCCCTGACTGCCCGCTCTTCCCCACGCCAAGCCCCCGAGTCCCGGCTCACCTGCGGGTCCCTTCCAGACGAGACAGCCACTAACCGCACCAAGCTGCAGCGTCCAATTATTGCCGGAAGTCGTCCGCCTCCCGCCGAGGGGCACCGCTGGACGCTCCGCCTTGGGGCCGCGCTGATTGGCCGGTCTGCAGCCACGTGACTGTGTTGCTACCCGATCTCGGAGGCGTCTGTGCACGCGTGCGCAGTGAGCGCAAGCCCCACCCACCCATCAGTGGCGCCTGTGGGCACGTTATGGTACATTTTGACCCGCCTTATTGGCATTGCCCAGGTCGTCTGGAGGAAACCGGTTGGCTAGCCACGGCCTCTGGACTCCCGCTCCGGAGCTGCAGACCGCCCTGGCGCCGGGCTGGTGTTAGCAAGGACACCGGCTGGTACACACTCACATCCCTCACCTCACTGTCCCATTTTCCAGCCTGCTGGCTAGGCAGCTGTGAATGCAAGAGCCTGGTTTGGGGTGCCAGATCTCCTACACGCCAGTGTCTTCTTGCACGTAGCCCTGGGGCTCAAAGACAGTCTTGCTGACCTAACGCCTAGAGTAACTTTCAGTTCCGAGAAAGCTGGAAAAGTCCTAGAAAAGCAGTGTCAACAGGTGGAATGTTTTCCAAATAGGTAGTTATGGAGCCTGCGGGAAGAAGAGGGAAAATTGGACCACTGCAGGTTAGAGAGGCTGCTGGCTAGAAATGGTTCTTAGCTGAATAAACAAGTACAAATATTTAAAGCGCCTGGTGTGTAGTAAGCAAACATACATGTTCAGTTTTAGTCTTACATTTTTAAATGACTTAGGTATTCATATTTGAAAATATTATGCAAATAATTTCTGATGCACTTGTTCTAAAAATGTTTTTTTTCATTGAACACTTTAAAAATAATAAACAGTTATGGGTGGAAGTCGGCATTATTCTGTCCACATATCTAATGTAGGCACGTGGCTCTCGCTTCTAAACCATGCGCAGTGGCTCTGTTTATTGTTTATTGAATTTGTGGAGGTGCTTTTACAAGCAAAGGATAACCATAATTCAGACTGTATGAAGTTTTTGTTGATGTTACCAAGCCAAAACACTACCAGAACAGAGGCAATAAAATCCACCTGCTCAACTTCCAACGGGGTTTATCCTGATGAGCCCAAGATGAAAATACCAAGTCAAAAATGCACTTAATACACCCAATGTCGGTTATACCCAGCCTACCACAAACACTCACATACATAACTCTGTGATCAGGCAAAATCACCTAATGAGATCTATTTGAATTTGAGTTTAGAGCCAGGGAAATGTCTCAAACGGTAACGCTGCTTCTTCGCAAGCCTGGTGACCTGAGTTCAATCCTGAATCCCGTTTGGTGGAGGAGAAAACAGGCTCCCACAGTTGTCCTTCATGCACAACTTGTGCACACTTGCATGGGCTAGCACATGCCCATAGTCTCACACACACACACACACACACACACACACACACACACACACACACAC